CATAGATCAAGACCATATGTATACATATATATCACATGCTGATGACATAGATCAAGACCATATGTATACATATATATCACATGCTGATGACATAGTACATTAATATCATGTGAAGGAATACTTACTCTCAAGAGATTCTAATGATAAGGAGTATAATATCTTGATCCCATCTGATTGGATAAATGCCTTCTTGCCTGACTCTGTGAAATAATTTATTTAAATTGGAACAAATGAACCAGACTTTATGAGCATCGGCATAGTGAAAAATTGTGAATGCAGAACAGCTGAAGATGGGTGGATAGACAGGGTGATCAATGGGTAGATGAAGATGGATGGATGAAGATGGATGGGTATTCTTACTTGTCATGGTGATACTTTTCAAGACGCTGATGATGCATTTCCTCACAGCAGTTTGTCGATTATGGTGATCAGTACGATGCCAGTCACAGAACATTTGTAGTAAGATTGGTACAGCACCATACTTAACAGCCTTGAAGGCACTGCTCTCTGACGAGTTAATAATTCAAACATCTCGGTTATGTCTTACTCACATGGGTAGGGTGTGGCCAATTGTCTCTATCATATGGATAGAACTGATTAATTTAGCAGGGAAAAGAAACTGCAAACCTACAACTTACTTGATTTCACAAGTGATGAGAGTACTTCCAGTACTAGCCTAGAATAGAACAAGTAACTACAAGGTCAACAAGAGCATCAGTAATACTAATATCTTTACATCAAAATGAATCCCCACCAGGATAACAATGGCTGAGAAAGTGATGGCTAATACAGTAAGTTTGAATGTATACTTAAAGTACATGTGTGAATTTTTTTGTCTGGCCTAAGAAAGTCAGGAAAAGAAAGATGCTGGATACTGATGTTACAAGGAATACAAATAATATAATATTATATGATATATTATTATGAGGCCATGAAACAAATTGAGATTAAATAACCCTAAAAAAGACAAGAATGCAATATAGTAAGGAGTTTTTACTTCAAACAGGTGATTCTTTTATGTCCACAAGCCACGACAATCTTAAACAAAACCGCAACAGCTCCATCCTTGCTAAGGGTATTACAATTCACAGCTAGAAGAAAAATAGCACAGAAACGATGGCACACAATAAAAAATATGGTCTTTGAAAACCACCCCCACCCAAGCCAGATCAACACAAACAACTTGGACTATGTGTAGAATTGAATCCTTTCAAATATGCAGCTTAAAACAGACAAGTTTTTGTATCCATGATATGGGGGAACATCTTGCTCACTACTAAGTATAATCAGGAAAGTGATGGATAGACGGTTGATAATACAGGCAAACATCTTGGTTACTATTAAGTATTATCAGGCAAGTGGTGTCAGACAAAAACCACATGTGTATCTAATGAAAGTGTGTATTATCAAGCTGGCAGATCGCCGATTGGGATTACAAAAAGACATCCAAACCAGTAAAACCTGTTTTTTTAATTCTGTGCAAAGGTTGGACACCTTTCTATTCTTGTATCAATCTCTTAATAGTCTAGTGATATCTAAGGCACCGCTCCAATTCAATGTAATATTTGTTTCAATCAACATTGTCAAATGATCTTGTTTCTATTCCATTTTAATTTGTATGTATCTGTGTCTGTGTGTCCGTTTGTCTGTCTGTCTACATTCATCTAGCTGTGGTATACTTGATGCTACTTTTTTCTGTTGATACATATGCACCATAATAATAATAGTAATAATGAATACTTTAGTTAAACTGGAAAAATCAATCAGTATGAAAAAAACTGGTCTTAATAAGATGTTCAGATAAGCTAGATAATATGAATATGATTATAAAATATAGTGCAAGATATAAACACAAAACGTATATAAAATCCCTACATTGATAAAATATTCTTCTATGGGCTAATTACACTGTGCATCTATGGTTATCAATATCATTCTGCCTTAAATATTTATAAAATTCACTTTTAAAATTACCTAGTGATTTTACTTTCTTAATGTTTAATGTTAAATGTTCCAATCATCAAACTGAGCAGCACACTGTCATCATCTTTTGCATCTATGAATCTTTGACATGTCAAGGCTGAAGCAGAGTAGTTTGTAGCTCATTGCTGCCAACTTACCATTAGAAGTGTATTGTTTCATAACCAGTAGAGTTGGCTGTAGGACTCTAAAGTTTGTAGTATTGTTCCTTATCAATGCCAGGGTGATATGGATTGCTCCCGTTAGTCGTGCTTTGATGCAGAACTTGCGGTCTGTTAGTAGAGACAAGATTAAAGATAGATTCATCTTACTTTTTCTTTGTTTAYAACTGGTTTGGGGGAAGGATGGGGAAAGGCAGATATTCTCTTGCTGTATGTACATATCACCAAGTTAACAAGGAGGGTTTTACTATCTTGTTGACATCTTTAAGTAGGTAGCAAAGCTTACCTTTTGGTCCAACCTTGGTGAGCAGTACATGACCTAACAGGATTACCTCTTCATTCAGTGGGTTTTCATGACTTGCATTGACTATAATTTTCAATACAATATCAACTGCACCCTTTGCAGCAAGAACAGATGCCCTTTTCCCTGGAGACATAACATAACATACATGTTATTGAATAAAAAGATATCCAACTTTTATGTTGAATATAAATACCTGTAGTGAGAAGCTCTGAAAGACATCCCATTACATTCATTGTCAGCTGTGAATCATTTGACAACTGGAACACAAAAAAACACAAACCAACTGTTCACATCATTCAAAATTACTTAAAACAGCTGATGTGATCATCATCATCATCATGGTGGTGGTGGAGATGATGATGCAATGACAGTGATGACAATGATGATATTAGAGATAATATTTTGTCTACCTCAAGTATGTCAAGYAAAGTTGAAATGCCATCTGTATGCTTGGTCATCATGTCTTTTCTAATTTTTTCTAAAATCAACAAATTATAGATTGGTTTTTATTTTTCTAAACAAATCCTTCACCTGGGGAAAAATTGAACATCTTGTTAAATCAATGGTGATCTTGCAGGATCTTGCAGTGAATATTCTAAGATCTTGTCAAGATCTTGAAGAGTTTAGGGCAAGATCCTGGCAAGATATTTACCTTAATTTAATAAATTAAATTAAAGTTTATGCAAATGAACAAAATTTTGTATCAGATTTACGACACTCTTCACGGTCGTGATTTCTGTTGTGTTTTCCTCATGAATTATTAATAAGTTTGACAATAGGATTTACACTGTAAAAAAACTGGTAGTAATTAATTGGGAAGGGAATCAATAATATTTGTCCTGTTTCTTTTTTTTGTTTTGTTTTTTGTTTTTTGTCTTWGTGCTAATTAAAAAAAAGACCTTCCAGGATCTATATCCTGCCCCTGTCTTCCAAGATCCTTAAGGATTCTTAGGGATCTTGTCAAAAGTCTTTCAGGACAAGAATTTTGTCAGGATCTTACCATGTCAATGCCATGACCATGGCAGGAATACCCAAAAAATTAGACTTGTAAGATCTGTAAGCACTTTCCCACTAATAGATCTAATTCATTGCATTATGATGTTTTCCCATTTCAGACCATGTGTCATTCCTAAGACTGTCATTTCTTTGTTTAACAGTTGCACTCAGTTTAACATAAGAAGGCACATGAATATAGATACAAAACAAACAAAGAATCCCATTCTCTTGGGAAGTGAGCATGGTCTGAAATGGGAAAACATTGTAACGCAACAAATTAGGTCTAATGGGGACACTTTTTACTGATACACACACTACTACCACATTTAATGTTCTATGCACACATCACTCAACTCAAATGTTGATTTTTACAGAGGGAGGAAAATCAGAGAACCTGGAGGAAAATCAGAGAACCTGGAGGAAAATCAGAGAACCTGGAGAAAAACCCTCATAGCATAACTTTAGGGCTCGAACCGACATGTTGGACTCACAGCGGTGAAAGATGACACATTAGGAGCGTATGCCACCCATGCTACCCATAAGCAAGATACTGCCAGATCCTTAAAAATCCTTAAGGATCTTGTGCAAAATCTCGCAGGATCTTGATCATCAGGATCTTATCATTGTTTGTGCCATTATCAGAATCTTGTCGTGGCCTTGTCTGATCTTACATGAATCTTAGCAAGATGTTCAACCTTGGTGCCACCTCAGGATCACAAAACACACTGTTTCCCCCGGTCTCAGTTAATAAGTCTTAAGTATTCCCACCTTGTGTAGAGAGCATTTGTTGGACTTTATTAGTAATATATCGCAGTTGATCAAAGTCCTTTTCCTGTTCATATTTGCTCTCAGTCACAGCCAGACTAAGTTTCTGTAACTGCTCTAGTAAAGTACCAATTCTTGCACTAAAGGAAAAGAAAGGATCTTTAACAAGGAATGAATGCAGAATTGAACTCTTAAACCCTACAGATATGGAGTTAAACAAAGGCTTTTTAAAATATCGACAAAGGCTTATTTGATCTGATAGTCTGACCAAAATAATCACTGTCACGAATGTTATTATGAAACGATCTGCTTGATTTGTTAATCCAAGGAAAAATAATTCAACCTTAATCAATATTCAAAACTTGCAGTCAAATAGAGCATAATGGACTCATTTTTTTCTCGCCACGAGAAGGTAACAAGACTTTACTAACGTCATTTTTTGCACAACATTAAAAATTAACTTAAGATATTTTCTTTACATACCTCTTTGTGCCAGATTTACTCATGTCGAACACTTTCTTGTCACTAAGAGTCTTTTCATATGACTCTTGAGCAATAAAGATTATTGATTGCAATCCTAAGATAAATTCAACATTTTATGAGTTAATCGTTTTTGCATAGCGTTCAAGTGACTTGAACTCTGGCGACAAGATGGACATCACATACGAGAAAGATTTACTGACCTGCAAACCATTCAAAGCATAAGAAGAATACGAATAAAAAGGGCAATCAAAGTTTATGAATATGAAGTGAAGGCAAACAATGGCAAATGATCGGCTTATTTTAAAGCATTATTAGTACGTCCGCCATTTTTCTTTTTTGTCCGCGCGCTGATTGGCTTGTTTTGAAACTACACAGGTAGCCCGCAAAGGGAAGAGTAGGTTGATGCTCAATGCCAGCGTCACTCATTTAGGGTCAGCGAGGACCAATCAAATTGCATAATAAAAACAATACATCCTAGCTTTAGGTAGTGGGGCCAATCAGAAAGCAGCAGAAAACCATAGCCTTTCCAGCTGAGTTGACCTTCAGAATGACAAAACAAGACAAGATTTTTATTTAGGATCATTTTAACTTACAAATATTTTGCATATATCAACTTTAACTTGTTTGAGAACTTTGCAGACTGTTTACGATAACCTTTTCAGGCTAGCCTAGGTAGACAGCTTATGAATGAACTTAAGGTAAACCAATCAGAATTGAGAACTTGAGAATTGTATTTTGATAAGCATTTCCCATAATTCTGCCAAGAGAACCCATAAAATATGAATTCTACACCGTAAATGCTACTAGTAGAACTAATGATGGCATTCCTTTCGATTCACAAGAAAAATTTTCATTAAGTCCCTGCTTGGAAAATGCTAACTAAAAATAGTCAATTAATCTGCCCAAAATGGACTCTTTACTGGTTGATGTCCCATTTTAGTTATGGTAAGAAAAACTGTCTCTAATGAGTCTGCTCTTTCTATTCCCCCTGGAAGAGGTGGATATAGGAATTTAAGCCATTGACGCAGAGCAAATTTTGTTCCAGACGAAAGTCTCTCAGTTTCAGCTGCAGGAGATGGAGGAAGAACTGCCATCAGTATAGATAATGGTAGCTTCATGACTTCAAGTCCATTCTTTCCATGCACTAATGCCTCAAAATACTTCTGTGGCACCCTCCTAGATTGTCCATAATCATCACTAGATGCTACCTCAGTTGCCACAAATTCATCAAGCCAAGTAACAGCATCCACTTCATCCTTGTGAAATTGTATCATCCTCTGGAGAGTTGAACAGTCTTGCTGGGCACGGGCTAGCAGGTACACTACAATGTGGTGCCTTCTTGGTAGTCCCATAGAAATCAATGGTGGGTAGACAGACTGTAACAATAACAACTTCGTTAAAAAAACATGTATGATATACTTATAAACAATATGTGCATGAACACAGAGTAAATGAAGACAGGAGATGACCCATGTATATCTTGCTGTTGGTTCAGTTTAATTTCTTTTTTGAATTCAAAACTAAAGGCAGGCCCCCGATTTTTAGATTAAGGAGTAATCAATATGCAGTACCTCCCATAATCCCAGGGGTGCAAACTGCAGGCTTTCTTCAGTAAAGCTTAATCCTGTTTCTTCTCTTAGTTCTCTAAGACATCCTTGGTAAAGCTGCAGAGAGAATCATGAGAAGTTGTCATTAAAGTACTTTATTACAGAATTGTTATTCAAAAGCAATTACAATAGTTTCAGCTAAGTACATACATACATACATACATACTTTTATTTGTTAAGCAGGTTAACTAAACTACGCAGCCACAGGCTGATGTGGACCTGCTGTCTAACTAATTACAATAATCTATAAATAACTAAATAGAAATATCTAAAAAATAAAAAACAAAAATATAGAAAATCAATTAAACTTATATTCGTTATAATTATTCAATAGATAATAAATGGAAATTCAATAAATAAATAAATACTAAATACTTAAATTTCTAAAATTTCTAAAAGACTAAAAATATAGAAAATCATCATCTTTTTTCGCTATTAAAGAAGCCCTGAATGAAAAATTATTTTTTATTTTTTTATTTTATAGTGCATTCATGCTACTTGCAGTTGGTGACTATATTTTAATCTCAAGTTAAATATCCATTAACAAATTCTTACTGTTTCTCCTGGATCCAGATGCCCTCCTACAATACAACAAAAGTTTGAAAGAAAATCAATGTCTAGATCTGTTAAGTCAGTAGTTGAGTTCTCAAGATATTATCAACTCACCAGGAGGAACCCAAACAGAAGGAAATGTTCTCATGTGTTTAGCCCTTCTCGTTAGTAAGACACAGTTATCTGATGACTGCAATATAATGGAAACTCCAATGCCAACTCCTTCCGTCTTTGGTGAAGAGGGAATACTTGTTATATCTGTGGCTGTTAGAAAACGACAAGGACATCCAGGAGGGTGCTGTTTGGAAAAACATTTATAATTAATTACAACTGATGATAATGACGATAATAAACTATCACCTGTCAGACTAACCTCTAGGCGTATTCCTTGTTCGCTTGGATAGATCTCAAGCTTTCCATCGTTATAGCTAAATCCAACATCCATTCTGTTGTCTCTACAGCCCAAGTAGGACAAGCAACACTGTAGGGACATTAGATGTATATCAATGCATCATTAACAATCAAGTATCATAGCGATAACAATGACTTTTGACATTAATTTGTGCAAAGACTAAGCTGTTCTAGTAAAGAGGTGTAACATCTAACGGTGTTGAAGGACTTTAATAAGGTTAATGGAGAGCCCCGCCGTTTTTTTGGCAACCAATCATTTAAGTTTATATGTCCGACCCCCTCGATCACTTCAATTAAAACTTACTCTTTCAAATGCAGCTGGTATAGAACTTCCCCCTTTGCTATCTTTACATAAATAAACCTTGGGTTCCATTATTTTAGACTTCTTCCATGCTCTAGATTGTAAAAGAAAGTGCAGTAATCGAAATACCGTTGTCTTCAAAAACTTCATAAACATATGGAAGGATTAGTTGATGTAATCAATACTGATTCGCGCCGGCTTCGGTAATATCTCGGAATTTCCTTCGATATTATTTAGTAGAGGGTCACGTGGTAAAGGAACCATAACAGGGGATATAGCCCCGCTGTCAGCCAATAAGGACTGTCATTTGAAGAAATTTATAACATATTAAGTGGTGCAGAGTTTTAAACGGAGCGTTGGTTTTATCAATGCTTACTGTTTAATGAAGATGTCGAGACGTTCTGGTAAGACGTACGGTGTAGCTTCTGGTCATGCAGATGAAGATGCACTCCCAACCAGGACAAAGACAAGCTTCTTTCAAAGAGGAAGAGAGTTTGAAAGTGTTTATGTGAATCATAAATACACCGAAGAAGAGAAAGAACAGTTATCCACTTATGAAAGCGTCGACTATCTTCCTCCTCACAGCTCGGTTTACAAGGTGAGCACGACTGCACAACTTTCACTCTTGTAACTAAAAACGGAAGTGTTCGTGCTTCAATGAATTAACAAGCTTTTGTTGTGTATTATCATTATATTAGTAAATATGTCCTACATCATTGGGGGAGGTGTGCATTGAAAGTCATGTTGACAAAGCTTTTATATAATAATAATGGTGATGATGATGATGATAATAATGCTTATAAAAATTAGTATAATAATTGCACATAGATAAATGTATTACAATTAATGGGTATACGAAGATAAAATATCTAGATATCTTATTAATAAATATGGATCAATTTTATCTGAATAGAAATGGTTAAAACAGCAGCCATCTCGTCTGGACTGGGATCGCTGGGTCATGATGGGAATCATTGGATTCACTGTTGGTTTTGTTGGGTTTTTAATGCATCAGCTGATTGACGTCATCGCAGAGTATGTATCACCATACCCATCAACTATTCTAACTTGTATTTCATAAAAGAAAGAAATAACTCACTTGTTGTGCTGTGTTAAGTAATAAAGCACTTGGGGATTGGAAGAAAGATCAAATTGTGCTTTTCCTAACATTTCTTGTGTTTTATGATTTCACGCAGGATTACACACTTGATTCTAAAAGCTGGAGGGAGATTTGAAAATTTAGTGCATATTAGTAAAAAGTGAGATGTGCATGGCTACAGCCCCCGTCTAGCAATACGAATAGATAGGTTATAAAGCAGACCTTAAGAGCAATACTAGCCCTTTACCCAAGTAAGTCCAACAATATCTCACCTTATCCAGGTCATCAGGGCTCCTGTTGATATCACTAGTGTCCTTTGGGTATGTAAATGAATGGATTACTAAAGGTAAAGATAAATAAAGGTTTCATTTTCATTTCATTATCGTTTTATTTATAACAGGATTAAGTGGGAAAAAGCATCAGAGTACATCAAGGTAATGAAGCTGTAATAAGCTAGATGTATGTGTCTGTATTTACCTGCTTGAACAAAACATTGTTTGCTGGTTGTTTCTTTTCAGGACAAAGATTTTGCCCTGGCATGGATATGGGTCATGGGTTACAGTGTGCTCTTTATTATAGCAAGCTCTCTTCCTGTTGTGGTAAGGCAATACTTTCTTGGTGTTAATATTGCCAATTCAAGAATAGTTTCATTGTATATATGTTATGTTATGTTATGTGGTCCATTCTCCCCAGGAAGCCCAAATTCCATAAAAAGGTTGTCCATGTTCCACTTTTGCTGAAAGAAAAAAGTATTTATTCTGAAAGCTACAATCCAATATATGTATTTGATGTTTGTAGTATTATCGTCCTTCTGCCGGAGGCTCTGGTATTCCAGAATTGATAGGATTCCTCAATGGTACTGTAGTACGACATATATTTAATGTCAAGACAATGGTGGTAAAGTTCTTCTCATGTGTTTGTGCAGTGGGTGCTGGGCTCCCTATTGGACCAGAAGGACCTATGATTCATCTAGGGTGTGTTATACACATTATATATTCTATTTTGATTCTTGCTTCGTATTGCATTCATCTAGTGTATGTTTACACACATTATATATACTATATTTTGATTTTTTTGTCTGTTATATGTTATATTTGAATATTGTATTTTCTAGGAGTCTGATTGGTGCGGGTATGAGTCAGTTTAAATCAGAGACTCTGAAGATAAATCTGCCATTCTTTGAACGTTTTCGTAACACTGAAGATAGGTACTAATAATGAATGCATCTTATTATACCTCCATCAGAAACTAATTAGTATACACTTATTTCAATAAAGTTAGTCACCTGACAAGCTATAAAGCTGAGGCCGACAAGGATTATGGGTAAATTCATTTTACACGTTCAACCGTTTGATAACTGTTCATGGACTTGCGAATCGTTTACTGGTTACAGTCTCACCTCTTCTGAGCATCATCGAGCTGCAGTTTGTATTAAAAAAGCTTTGTATATATATGCTTTTTTGATATGAAAAGTTTCCCATGATGCTCAGTGATCTCAGCTTTCTAGGTTTTTGGTGACTAACTTTATTGGAATAAGTGTATACATGCAACTGTTCAGGGGTGGGGTCAAACTTTTAACCCAACCCTATCCCAGGAAAGCCATGTTTGCAAACATTGAAAGCATAAAATATGTTCAAGATGAATTTTTTTTTTTGGCAGGCGTAACTTCATATCTGCTGGTGCTGCAGCTGGTGTTGCATCAGCATTCGGTGCTCCAGTAGGTGGTCTTCTGTTCTCCATGGAAGAAGTGTCTTCTTTCTGGAACATGAAGCTATCATGGCAAACGTTTTTCTGTTGTATGGTGTCAACATTCACCACTGTGAGTCATTGCACAAGACTCTGATTTCAACTTTTCAGTGTTTTGATGCTATTATGGAGAGGAATGATTTATATGTTCATGTATTTCAGGATATTTTCAATTCTGCTTTTGAGGGATTTCGATATCAAGGAGATTTTGGTTTGTTTAAAACCAACAAATACATTTTGTTTCAGGTCAGTAATACAAAACTTACAATGTATGGTTGCTAACTAAACCCCTTGTCATTATCAAACCATAAGTGTGTTACAATTGATGTTAAGGTTGATTTCTTAGGATTGTGCACATGTCCTCCCTTAAAAGATTACTTTCTGCACCAAAATTTAATTAATTCATGTGGGATTTTTGCGTGAAAATGGTACATTGCCCCCCACCCCACTTATTGAGACCTCACTGCACCCTGGTCTGTACTGACTTGTCATAGGAAAACTGTTCTAACATACTTTATCATACTGATTATATGTAACGATACCTTTTGTTACTCATACAACATTCATATTTTCATGGTTCAGGTAAGTCGTGGTCTTGCCTTGAACATCTTGGCCTTTATTCCTACCGTTATACTTGGTGTTTTTGGTGGTTTACTAGGAGCTCTTTTCACGTTTATCAATCTCAAGGTATGACCATCTCTTTGACTACTGGCCTATCTTAGTTTGTCATTAACCAGTGGTTATTTGTTGTTACTAGATAGCAAGATTTCGTCGCTATCACATTGGTACCATCAAGTCCAAAGGATGGAAAAACCTTGCAAGATTAATGGAACCTGTCATCATTATGGTAAGTCAACTGACAAAACAGCCTTACAATATATTTTTATTTACTTTTTCCAGTGTTCACTTTCCCATTCATTCTTCTTGTATTTTGTCTTGTTTACAGATCGTCACTGCCACGGCTTCTGTGTTCCTGCCAGCAGCCTTCTCTTGCACACCGTTTGAATGTGCCTTCTCATCAAAGGGTTACAGGTATATTATGATCCCTGGTATATCTGCTACATAGTTAATCAGGTTACATCCTTTGTCTAATCCTAACTTGGCAGAAACGAGTGGGGATTGCGCACTAAACCATATTTATACCATCGGTCTGTTGTGGAGGAGATCGTGAGTTCAAGCTACATCTGCAAATAGTTAGACCTTCAAGTGGCTCGGATGACAGTCCCTTCCTTAATCACTAAAGATGTTAAAAGAGGACCATGAGTTTATCAGTTGAATTACTTTCATTGTCAACCTCTATAAACAAAATTGATTGGTTTATTTTATTCATTTACGTTTAGCATGGCATCGCTTTCAGACAGTCAGTAGTGGAGTAAGATCTCTTGTCAGTAAACTGATTCCAGCAGGAAATAATTTCCTGTGATCATTGATTTTTTTCTATCCCATTTATTCTTCAGTCCCAGATGCTTGTCATCCAGCCATAGTCCTCTGCACACAGAACGCTCAGTTAATAACTACACTTGTCCAAATGGGATAGCCATTACCTACAATGGCACTCAGTTTACTAATGCGTCTTTTAATGAAGGTATAGTAATTGAGCTGCTTATTGCTTGGATATCAAAACGTCTTTAGCTAAACCAATCATGGTACAAGATCTTACTTTTCCAGCGACCTATACAGGGACGCAGTGCCATCACATTAATGTTTACTGCAGCAGCATGTCTGTACCACAGGTTTTTCATAGTTTTCATTGTTTTTTTGGTTTTAGTTGCTACTCTTTTGTTTGTAACTGGTGAACAAGCTATACATCATCTGTTCTCAAGAGGAACACATTTTGAGTTGGGTTATGCGTAAGTCTAACACTACAGACTAGATATACTTTATTCTTTATGAAGCTTGACTGTTGTGACAAGGCACAGTCATGACATGACACGCCCATAACACAGCATGGCCAAAGGAAGACTTGTCTGTACTGTGGCGTTTCCCAAAGTTATACCATATTTGTTCTATTATTTTTCATCACTGTTAAATAATCACGATTATTATCTTAATTTTAGGTCATTATTCACCGTGTTGGTGGTGTATTTCCTTTTAGCTTGTTGGTCTGCGGGTAGTGCAGTGTCTAGTGGTCTGGTAGTCCCTATGCTGTAAGTACTTATTACCTTCATCTGCTGCATGTTACGGTACATCACTCACACAGCTTGTACGGTTAGTCTGCGGGTAGTGCAGTGTCTAGTGGTCTGGTAGTCCCTATG